ATCCACAAAGTGTTCTTGTAGTTTGCGTTTCATAAATCATGGCTGTGTCATGTGGTGAACAAGGTTGCCGACTGTGATCTGTTCACTGTCATTATCTTTCACATACTCTATTACTTTCATAAAGGCCTCAGCGCAACTGGAATTTACAGGTGTTCCTGGAGTGAAATTCTGCGTTTTTTTAAACGACAAAGCTTTGGTATTTGATGGCCAGTTCGAAAGTTTACATTGCATGGTTGATGGTACAATGCATCTGCGGCAGGTAAATCATTAACTGACTCAAGCTTTCCTTGAACATCCTCGGCCCATTCATCACCACGTTCCTGGCATATCTTCTGAATGATGCTTTGAAATTCTAAAGTTCTGACAGGGTGGACTTCATTTGACCTCTTCTTTCCTGATAGATGCGCATTCGGTCAACAGAACAGACAATGTTCAGATGAAAACACAAATCTTGAAATTTTTAGAACGTCTCCACTTCTCACTTGAATAATTTACACGGGGCTGTTGGGAAAGACTCTGTTTTATCACATTTGGGTTGGTATACGTCTTTCGGCATTCTTGATGAACGACTTGGCCAGCTTGAACGTGCACAGAGTCACCACGAGCTGAGCTTGCTGAATTAATTCCATCGCAGCCTTTGTTCCTCAAAATTACAGTGGGCTTTCTATCAAGGTCCAGGTTGCCAATGATTCATTTCTCCATTGATACTTTAAAATATCTGAAAGTAAAATAAATAAATTATATTATATAACTGAGAGTGAATTACATGTACTCGGTTCGATCAGTGAAACTTACCCTCTAAAGGCTACAATGATGATAAAGTTTATCTTTATTCTACATCAAGAAAAGATATATCCCCTTGTAACTATTTTATTATAAAAAGTCACTTCAATTACATCAAATAAGCACGTTTTCTAGATTACCATAACGTAGATGATCCTTTACCGGTTGAGCAAGCATCAAATGATGTCAGTTTTCGTTTTCTGACAGAAGTAACCACACCATTGTAACAAAGCAGCTACTGAAAAATAGCACAAAATACCATTGTATATCCATGAAAATGTGTATACAATTTATTTATATATTCTCTTGAGTTTTTTGTCATGTGTACTGTGACTTTTTACGAGAAAACGGGCTTTTTTTACCGAAATGAAAGTAATTGTGAACTTTTAGATACATTATGGTGTAAATGGGTTCCCATAGATTTTTTTCTGATACAGAACCACCCCTTGAAATGTGCATAATTTACATTAAAAATCAGAAGATTAACATATAAAAGGTCTAGGATTTCTTGCAATACTTCTAAATACCCATTCTATGTTCAAAATCTTTTATTTTTTAAAAATTCATTCCCCCAAAACAACAGTGAACAGTAATGAGTAATGAGTAAATGTGACGTGATTATTTGTAAGAAATAGGCTTCTTTCACAAAATGTGCCGCAGTATATAATATCACTGTCAACTTAATTTATATTAAGGGTACATTTATAGGTTTAAAAAGATAAATACTTACCCAAAATTGATGAATTCTCCACAATTCCAACGCTGATTTTTACGTTCACGTACATGGAGTTTGAGAGTTATGTCCCTTTCATACTATGGCGCCCCAGCAAAGCAGGCCGCATTGCAAAAAATAGTTCCATGTTTAAAATAAAAATTTACATATTTCCACCCCCTAGATTTTTTCTAGACTTTTATTATGTGGTTGAGCGATCCATTTGTGTTTTGTTCCAGCTAAAAGCATTTCTTTTGCAGACAGCTGAAGGTTAAAACTTAGATTGACTGGAGTATTTGTTGTCCTTTATTGGTGATGATTTTGCACATGTACAAAAGTGTGGAAATTCGTGCGTATTCTCACCATTGAGCAGACGTAGGTTTCATGGACGATGGTGCGACATTTAACTGATCGTGAGGGCTATCGCACTCCCTGCTCCGCGTCAAAGTTTTTGTTAAGGTACACATCAAATCGCTCATTGGCTAAAATTGACACATGCTTTTGATTGACAGACTGGATCGGTCTATTTCTCATACATTTTGCAAAGTAATGACAAATGGTCTTTCTCATCAATATGACGACTCTTGATGAATTCTGGCGAAATACACTCTTTACAAAAAGAAAAACATAAGCCATTTCAGACGAATTATTGCGTTAGTTTAAGAGCAATTATTTAATGTAATAGTAAAAAAGTGAAAATTCACACATCTATACTAGACTAAGAGTTCGCTAACACAACAGCGCTGTGTTCATGTTTACTTGAGTCAACAAGATGGCGTCAAAGTCACTACTTTGTATGGCTACCATTGGCAGAAATACTGTTCGGCACCGTCTCGTCACAGACTGGATAAGTAGACGAAGTCACCCTTGTGGAATTCTTCCCCATTCTTCCTGAAATGCGATGGCCAGTTATGGAAGTGTCTGAGGCGTGTTTTGACGCTGACGTATGCGTCGCTCGACTTCATCCACTAGGTGTTCTATCGGGTTCAGATCTGGTGATCGGGAAGGCCATGGCTAGACATTGACGTAAGAATCGGCAAGGTAGGTGATGCGTGCTGTATTTGAAGTAGCATGGTCATGTTGGAACATGGTCATGTTGGAACAACTCCCTCTGTCGGTCCATAATCGGAAGCAAGTGACGTGCAAGAACTTAGTTGATGTACCGATCTGCTAACAAATCCCCAGAACCACCACTAAATCATATCTTTGTGTGCTGGATATCGCACCCTACACCATGACACTTTCTCCACCGTTTCTGTCGACCTTTCGAATAAATTGCAATTAGGGGCAACACGTTCATTTCTGAGATGGCGAACACGCTGTTTTCCATCTGGCTGGTGAAGAAGAAATCGTAATTCATCACTTAACCAGACTCGCCTCCAGTTTCTGAGGTTCTAGTTCCGGACTCTACGACACCACCGCAAGCGATTGCGCCGATGAAGTCTCTCGAAACAGTGACAACAACTGTCCTTCTTGGTCGAATCTCCACTTTCTGACAGTTTGGTTGGAAATTCTTCTTAAACCAGGGATATGTTGTGCAGTCTCCACGGTTGTGGCAAGACGACGACGCAAGAGAGCTACACGGATGTAGCGATCCAGGGCTTGTGTGGTAACTCTTGGACGGCCGCCGCCGCATCTCGGACGATCTTTGGCGGAATCGGCCCGCATGAAACGATCTCAAAGGCTCCCCAGCTTCAAGGCGGCCTGTGGGAATGTTCCGATTGGCGGCACTCAGTCGTGGCATGATGATTTTCTTTTTTCCAGACTAAAAACGAATAACAAAATTAAACACGTTTTCCTTTTTATAGAGATCGATACCGCATGCTTTTTCGCTTACATGCACGTGCATTTTGCTTTGCATATTCTTGGCGACGTTTTGGCGAATATTTCTTCAAACGCTTCTAAATCAAGGGAAAATGTTAAAATAGCCGCGTTTAGAATCACACAAAGATGTCGTTTTGGAAAGAAATAGTATATTTGTATTCTTTTTGCCGCAGCTACATGAGTCAATTATTCTCAAAATCACCCATGCGTTTCTTTTTTGAAGAGTGTAGATCAGGTGTGAAAACGAACACTGTCGTCAGAAAACGACACTACATGTTAATGTAGACAAAGATTTTACTGTGAGAATCTTTATTAAGACTCCTTAATGAGACACCCATCGTCTACTTGTTCCATACATGGGCTCATTATTCTATGCGATGTAAGTAAAGTCTATCGCATTGAATAAGAAAGGAAAAAATAGATATAGTTTAATGATTTGGTAAGAGGTTAAGGTCTACGAATGTAAGGACACGGTCAATGTATCCTGCTGCAGACATTGTTAATTGTTATGCAAGTTAATCGTATGTTTTACATATTGCTTTCAGGCAATATATTTCGCTGTGGATATTAATTCCGTTGGGATTAGACCGGAGGCCAAATTAGCACCATAATCTAAGGGGGTGTAACCCGGGCCAGTTTAGGCATCACAATTACATAATAATGGCATAACATTTCAACTCTTATATTGAGCTCAGAGTGAGAAAAGTAACTAACTATTTTTATAAACGCTGATATTAAATGTGTCTGATATTTTGGGGTGTATTTTAGTGTAAAACCACAGGCACGGCTAACTATCCATACACCATATTTCCTAACATATCAAACAAAGTAATGGTCTTTCATAATGTTTTCAATATGGCTGCTCTGTCGGCGATAACTGAAATTGGATGCGATCTTCTTGAATGAAGTACGAGATAAAGAAATCGAAGTCTAATATGCACGCAGTCTATGTGAAGTATCCTTTGACACGCTATGGGCTCAAAATAAACACGCACGTCATAAGCTCCTTTGATTTTCCATCTGAAGATGTCCAAGTTTCGATATATGAAAAGAGGTTATTAATGTGGTAGCCAATCCCATTGAGCTGTAAGTCAAAACAACCAAACGCAGCTGAGATATTCACCAACCAACTTTTGTCAAAGTTATACGTATGTATTGTTTATTCTTGAATGCACCAGACTTCTTAGAAATCATCTGATCTAGCAATGAAAGCAAGTGCCAATTCTAGAGTATTCCTTAAACATAAATTAGATAGTTTGTTACTTTTCAAGCTAAAGAAAAGACTCCACAGTCAGGTTTTTTGCCTACATTTTACAATAAATAATGTCCTCCAGGCATGTTATGAACAAAATCAATGACTCATCCCCCCCCCCCCCCATATTTTTCATATTTAAAAGCATAATTTAAAAAAATTAATATGTACAAAATTGTTAACCCTCACTCCCTTAGAACATGCGTACAATAATGATGGCCTCTCAACCTTCCTTAAAACAAAATGGGTGACACCCCCTCCCCCACACACACACACACCTAAAATCATCATCACCCTCCTAGCTATAAATTATGAACGGTCCCTAAAGAGGTTCAATTTAAACAAATATCATTTGACAATGAACATAAGTAATTCACTATATTTACTATAGGTATTCATATTGATCTTTTACTGCCCATGCTTTTACAGTCGGATGGGTAAAGCTGAAGTCCCAGTGCACCTTGGGGACACACTGACTACATGGGTGGCTAGTGCCTTTGGATTAAGCTCGCAGTATGGACTAAGCATCTCATCAGAACATGCTCAGGTAAAAAATACACACAAGACATACGCCAAAAGATATGTCAAAGCCCTGTTTTGTAATTAGCTGACCTTATTCTCGGATATGCCAAGCTTCTTCAAAATTTCCTAGGTTTGATTTTCTTCGAAGATTTTATGCAATTCTTTCTCTAGTTCAAATCCCAAAATCCATACACAGTATTAACCATGAAACATTTCCATGTCACAATAACTTTTGTGTCTGAGCGTATCAAACGGTCCGACACTATGAGCTGATGGATGAGACTAGGTTTTGGAGCGTGGTCCTGTATTGAGTAAAGCAAGTTATTGCAATTATTCAGGATGGAATATGAAGCTAAAGGCATTACTTTAATGTCAGGTAGTGTGCAACAGAAAGATGCAGTAAGTTATCTCTGTTATAATCAATCAAAGTACAAGTAATCTGTAACTTGTCTTTTTCAGGTGCAAACGTTTCTGAATTTCTTCGTGACACTCACTGTTCCGGATCACATCGTGTTTGGGGAACAGATTCTGTTACAGCCTCAGGTGTTTAACTACATGGACAATGATGTACCTGTGAGTATGGCTGAGTAATACTTAACGTCATGAGTTACCATGTGATAACACACGTGAGAATGATATCACAATAAACTAGAAAGTGTTTTTACTCGTAAAAACAGATGTCTCCCCCTTCCCCCTACTCAACGTTGAGACCAAAATTCATTTGATTCCTTCAATTTCAAAATGTCTACTATCAAAAAGTCAAAGTCCAAATTTGTTGCGATTGAAACAGATAAAAATAAAGTTGAAAGAAAGTTCAAACCCCAAAAAGGCACATCTACATAATATGGAGAGGCAGTGTAGCAAATTTGGTGAAGATGGATCAATTAGTTTCAGAATTTTGCTCCGGAAACGACCTTTACCCTTTAAAAAGACCAAGTCCAAATAGTTGCCATGAAAACAGAAAAAAGTGGAAAAAACTCAAACCCCCAAGATATGTAGTGAGTAAGTGAGTTAAGATTTAACGTCACATCGGCCTTGTCCCAGCCATATCGTGACGAGAACAATGTAATTCATATCAGTAAAAATTAAATTGAGAAAATAAAAACCTGTCATCGAAGGACAGTGAAACTACTAGAATATCACAGCTCTTTATTTAAACTAGTACGCAATCATAAAAATATATCACTATAGACAACAATACAATATAAAACCGGGCTATAAATCACCAGCAACCGGAGGCTAATATATTTCACTAAATATTAAGACCACAACTTAATGTTTGATGAAATAATGGATTAATTCTATTACAAGTGTCCATCCTTCAGCTTGCCCTATTGTGACGTCAGAAAATTGTTATGTCAATGCTATTGTGACGTCATAACGTCATAACTGTCATTTACTTCCTGAAGAAATTAATGAAACATGTGGGAGTGAAATTGGCTGTTTTTTTCAATCTTAATATCTGTGGAGGGTCTCTGATCTATGGCGGGTTTCCTAATCCGTGGCAGGTGTGATTGTTCGACTGTTACATGACATCATCGCGTAATGACGTCATTACGCGATGACGTCATACCTGCTAACCGTTCCCGACGTTATTCGACACTAGCCATTCGTGGCGATAGTAATCTCAGGAAAATCTTGTAAGCTAAGAAAATAAAAACCTGTCATCGAAGGACAGTGAAACTACTAGAATATCACAGCTCTTTATTTAAAACTAGTACGCAATCATAAAAATATATAACTATAGACAACAATACAATATAAAACCGGGCTATAAATGACCAGCAACTGGACGCTGATCACCACGCAAGGGATCATGGGGACTTGCGGCACCTTTGCTACCATCTTGGGGGCTGACATGGGACGATTATGCTGGAAACTATATGTATGCATCCCATACAAGTAATTGGCATTCTAAGATGCCTAGCGGTTAGAACAATCGAAAAAAAAGTACATTATCAGACAATAAAGGTATAGTTTTTTGATGACGTAACAATTGAATGACGTTATCCCGTCACTGCGCCATTCTAGTGTGCCCCCTCGTAATCGAACCATTTTACATTACGTCACAATGTAAGCGACGTCACGATGCATGTCAGTTGTCATCGCCTCGTACGGCCTCCTACAGTAAACTACACGGCTGCATCCAGTTTCTTGGTTTGCTGTTGCTTCACGCAGCTAACATCACTGGTCGAAACATTACGTTCATGTTTTACGACGGTTAAAATGTGTCATTTCGACTCACAAGTTTTCAGCGACACGGTAACGTTCGTAATGTTTACATTCCCACAATGCAATTGTGGAATGTCGCTTGACTACTCAACTGTCCTCTGGATGTACTTATCTAAACTTACGCTGGTAGTAGAAATGCAACGTTCATATTGCCCCATATGGTTTACGTTAATGACAGATGTAATTAAAATAATTCAGATTCCTAATTTAGGTCACCGACACCGTCGTTCGTTTTCTGCCTTAAATTAATCGTAATTATCTTTAGAAAGTATTAAATTTGGCATCTTAGAAAAGAAATACACTTCGCTCTACCACCATGTATAGTGTAATAAAACACACTTTTGCCCTGAACTATTATAGTTAAAGCACTCGGACGTATTGTCACCATGAGTAAGATGTTTTATGGCGGGCTTTCATTCATCTTTATTTGAATTGATCGAGTATAATTTTCTGTTTTACAGATTTCTCTGGTGGTTAAAAACTCTGAGAATCAAAATGAAGTGTACAGAGGTGGAAAGGTCAGAGAGCACACTATTAAAGCTAGATTATTGCCAACTCCACTGCAACGAAGATATTGCAGACTGTCCATATTACATGCACATGTACGAATAAGTCGTGCCGGTTTAATGCAACTTTGAACACTTTAAGTTATCCTTATTTCCAGATTCATTTATTTCGAAGATTGATTATGACAAATTGCTCTTACTAAGAATGAGACAAATCATGGAAAAGGCCCCCATTTGTGATAAAAAAAGAGCCACAAAACTAGGTACACATCCATCGATTGTACAATTCCGAATATATCATGGGCATGTGTTTATGAATCACTATCAAATAGTTAAGGCATATCCTGTCCAACCGGTGGCTCAAATTTTAATAAAATAAATAAAGCCAGTTGTTTGGATCTTAAACACCAAGACCAAGTACGAGGGCGTCTCACCGAACACTATTCATGTCAGTGATGCGCCAGATTTGGATATGCCCTTCACATGTCTACCGTAATCATTTGGAAAGTTGTTCACATCCAATGGATATTCAATTCTTTATGGGGACTCATTAGAAGTACCGTACTTTCTTTTATATGTGCAGATTCCACATGGAGGAAGTTTATCGTTCATTGTCCCAGTCACAGTCAGCAGTCTCGGCACCGTGAAGGTCACTGTTACAGCTTATGGCTTTTTAAATGGCGTTTCAGACGCAGTTGAAAAGGAGATTGTTGTCAAGGTGCGTACATTTGTAGTATTTACAACATACCCATCATTTGATGAAGTATTGATGAATGATTTTACTATCATACAATAACGTGCCAGACAAAAAGATATATTTAACGATCAACGTCTATACAAATGTTTAAGATATGTATAATTAGAAATATATTAGAAGCTGCTATCCAAGGCCAGCACTACATTATTGCTGTGTGAGGTAACCCAAATGAGGATATACGGTGTTCGACTTGGTCACCACGATTTCGTTGAAGTTTGATCATGATATAGACCACTGGTACATCCACGTTAGAATTAATTACGGCCGTTTCATTAACATAAAGTGTTACATAGATAAGTGATATCAGAAGTGATACGTACCCAGAGAAATGTCCACTTGTAAACCTACTTCTTCACATCTTGTAGCCCCAGGGTGCTCCACAACACTACAACCTACCAGTTGTCCTAGATCTCAACTCCGCACATTCTGTGGTCGACACACTGGACATTGCGCTCCCTCCATCAGTTATTCAAGAATCTGTCATTATCAAGGCAAAGCTCACAGGTACTTTCTTAAACGCAAGACAGAATGTCACATGACAACAAATGGAACCAAAAAGTTGGATAAAAATAGGGCAAAATTTCTGAAAGTTCGTACTGCCATATGCATCTTTAAGATAACACTTGACATGGAAGGCCAATTATATAAGTATTGCAAATACTGTCCATAATGCTCCTCACTCAACTCGATCTGGAACACGAATATTTCACCACACTGTGGCTATTATACGGCTGCCCACGACATAAATGACTTCACCTGTTTCCATAATTGTGGAAAAGTGGATGCTTTCTGGTACGCTTTCCTCAAACATATTTACATGAATGCAGTTGCTCGTTAAATATTAATAAAAAAATAACAAGTTTAATCATGTTTACAAACAAGCATATGGTTAATTGAATGAATGGTGAATGCGAGTGTCAGTTGATGTGGAGTAGATGCCCCAAAGCGATTGTATGTATTGATTTGAATTTGACGAAACCTGATACATGATGTTTAGAGCTGAGTCTAGGTCATGAATGCAGAAACGCTAACAGCAATGTTATGAGAGGTGCATTTGGTTTGATGAATATGACCTTCTGTTTCAAAGCTGAATCATTTGGCATGTTTATTTTTTTTATAAATCCTGAAGTGACTGCATTAACCAAACTTGTTATTAGATTAGCATGAAAGAATATGGTTACTTATTTTATTTTTTTCTGGATGTAAAGTTGTGGAGCATTCAGGAAGCTTTGGAGATAATGCTGTATGTGTTTGCATTATTGCACACAGGTTCCTAGTCTGAATGATGACACGCGTCCCTGAACTAAACATATTTCCTGCTTAACAGTCTGACAACGATAATAGAGGAGCACAAAATGGATTATAAACCAGCTTTTCTCAAATAGAGGGCCACATTTAGGGTAGCCGGGACCATAATTACCATAAACAATGATTCGGGATAAGTTCTGTATACTCATATTTGACTGTTGTATTTACATGAGTAACAAATGTGTGTATATAGAAGAACGGTTAGGCCCGTCTTTGTTGTATAAGTGAGAACATGTTATTCACAATCACTGAACGTAGAACCTATTTCAGTTACAAAGTCCGTATGGCAGCTGCTTCTGTTTCATAACATTTCTTTTCAACATTGTTTAAGGAGACATAATGGCACCGAGTATCAAGGGTTTGAGCAAACTGTTGACGTTACCAACGGGGTGCGGTGAACAAACGATGATAGGACTTTCTCCTGACATCTACATATTGAAATATCTCAACAGCACTGGTCAAATGACTTCATCTAACCAGCAGAAACTGTCTAGCTATATAAAACAGGGTAAGGTTAGAATATAAATATATATGAGAAAGACAATTTCTCCCCCACTTGTTTCCTTAATTTCTTCATGAAGTAAATGACAGTTCTGACGTCACAATAGCAGTGACATAACAATTTTCTGACGTCACAATAGGGCAAGCTGTAATATGGAAATATAATTAATCCATTATTTCATCAAACATTAAGTTGTCGTCTTAATATCTTAATAAAATATTTTTCGTTGATTGGTCGCATAATTCATCATTAAATTTTGTTTCTATTTTGTAAAATAGACAAAATCTTAAATTTAATGTCTTTGTCTTTTGCACTGGTGTCAAGGAGGGCACTAAGTGGAAAACATCGAGTTCAAAACACCCTAAAACACCCTTGACATATAATGACATTATATGATGTTTTTAGCTGTACGGTCAATATTTGAACGCACATACAATCTTTCTTTTTTGTTTATGAATTTTATACTTGAGTTTTCAAATAGATATGGACATATCCCACAATTAGCTCTGTCACATTTAACTCTGTGTTCTGAAGGAGTATTGTTTGTATCAAATTTTGCCTTAGTTAATAATTGTTTTAATTTTTACTTTGGCGTTTACTTGTAATGAAATTAACATTCTGAGCAATTTCACTCATTTTTTTTATCACACATGAAAAGAGGTGTATTTTGTCTTATATTGAAGAACAAGTATGTATTGAAAGGATTATGGGTTGAGACATATGCAACATCAGTGGTATCAGTCTTTTGTTTTGTGTTGACTTTCAGGAGCTCTCTTCTATTGATGGATGTAGCCATACTTATTCCATCCTCGATAAGAAGTGTGGGGTATTCTCTTCTGTGTAGCAACACGTTGAGTTGTCTGGGTCGGATATTTCTTGTAACTTCATTAGAACAGATCATGCTGATACGCAGTGTTTGCAATACTTTAATTTGCCAGTTGGCCATCAGGGCCTTCTGTCGCCTACAGGCTTTAATATCTACATGCCCTGAATGAAATCTGCAAGCCCATTTTGTGAAAGTCAAACCAATAAAAACAAAATAGACTACACTGTTTCACAGTGTTTCTACAATTTCAATTAGCGAAACCTATGGCGCAGAGATACGTTTTTATTTGTTAAAGACTGGTGTTGAGATTACCAGGAATACCAGGAAGTGACACTGTAATTTATCGTAACATGATGGATCATGGATGATTCCCGAACGTTAATAAAGAAAAATATATGGGAAAGTACAGTTGCAAAAATATTACAGATAATTTACCGAAGGCCACAAGGGCCTGCGAATATTTGAAACTGCCGGCCTGATACAGTAAAAACCGGCGCTGGGCCTCAGGGACGGCGATTATTTCGAACGCTGCAGATACGTCTGGCCAAGTTGTAAGGGATACTTTTCCTGGTATTTGATGGGAGACATGACAAAAATTCCAAATACTGTTTAGTGTAGGTAGGCTTATAACATATGCCCGTTTCTAAATGTCCCTCGATTATTTTCACAACAGTATCGAGGAAATAAATTTCACAGTCACTTGTTTCCATTGAAAACACAATATGTTCATTCATGTTATTCAGTATCTTGTAGAATGCACCTAGATTGTTATTCGTAAATGGCCATAATGTAAAATAAAAAAGTCATCAAAATATCTTCGCAAGTTTTCAGTAAAGTAAATTAAAATTACACTTCCTATTTTTTCTTCTAATTGATTAACTAAAATATTTTCTATACACCCTAATTCTAAGGTTGCATACGTTTGGGCCATTTGTGTGCCCATAGCTATACCTATTATTGTTCAATGTGAATTTTACAATTTCAAGTATGAATAATTTTGTAAATCTATTAGGTGATAATTCTGGATGTTTCTCCAGCCAATGTGCTGTCGCTCTAAGTCGGAATAATATATGCCAAGGGTGTTTTGGGGAATATATAGTCGGGTCCATAAACAACAAATAAAAGACCCACAGACATGTTGTATTCCACTCAGTGCCCACCTTGACACCAGTGCAAATGACAAAGACATTACATTTTTGATTTTGTCCATTTTACAAAATGGAAACAAATGACAGAATGGTGCGACGAATCAAAGAATATTTCACTAAATATTAAGACAACTTAATGTTTGATGAAATAATGGATTAATTCTAATTAATAATTATTATATGCTAACTTGGAAATTATATTGCTGCTATCCAGCATATATCCTTTCGTTATCATCACAGGTTAACAATAATTCAGAAGTATAACACGTTCAGGCAATGGGATGTTTTGCATTATTTTGTGATTTGTTTTCAGTTTCACAATAACATGGTGTTACTTTGCTTTTGTCTGCTTTGTCTATTCCTTGCAGGGTATCAACACGAGTTGCAATATCAACTGAGAGATGATTCCTTCTCAACTTTTGACACTGATAGTATAGGGAGCACTTGGTAGGTAGTTTTCTTCATAAGTTTGTGTAGAAGGTGATGCATGAAGGACGAAAACTAATTTCTGATTTCAAACCGTAAATAATAAGGAAAATGGAATGTCGTCATTATAAACATTATATTATTTCAGGCTAACATCATTTGTTGTTAAGTCATTCATGGAAGCTTCGGATATGGTTTATATAAGTGAAGATGTGATTGTCAAAGCAGTCGACTGGATCTTAGCACAACAAAACTCTGATGGATCATTTCCTGAGAAACATGCCCTTTACCATAAAGACATGCAAGTAGGTTCCTTCTTTTAACATTATGGCGTGAATATATAAATGATATATATTCCTTTGATTATAAGGAAAACAAGTATCTGACGTATTATCATCCCTGCTTAAGTTCATTCTATGAAATGTGATTAATTTGTTATGATAGAACATTCTTCAAATGTTAGTGCAATACTTTTTGTAAAGGCTTTAACCCAAATACTTGGATATGACGTCAAAGATGTACATCACCTACAACGACTAGATTTCAGAAAGTGGCTGAGTGGATATTTGTGTACAGGTTTTGTTCCTCATTTTTCTGGCGTTTGCTTTAGTTATAACTGTCCTTTAGGGAGGAGTCAAATCAGCAGTGGCCCTTGCTGCGTACGTGTCCATAACATTGGGATCTGTCAAGAATCTGGAACACGTATGTTCATATAAGTTGAAATGATCTAATAAAGTTTCCTTTGGAATCTTTCATTCCGATATTTGGATAAATGTATTAATACTTCCACACTGAGCTCGTCGTTGTACATAGTACATGTACATTACATATTCAAAAAAGAAACGCACTGGGTAATGAAAAAAACAGCTGTGGAATAATTAATAGGCATTTTCAAACCACCCATGTTTAGGTTTACAATCATACACGCGCAAAACAAAACGACTTTAAACAGGTCTACCCTCATGTTTTGATCCGGGTTATGTGGCAGGGATTTCACGTTTTCCCTTTAAAAGCATCCAGTCCATCCACGGGCAAATAGACAGGATATAAGCCAGGCCTCGTACAGCCATAGAATCACTATGATATCGGTAGAGCCGTCTTCTGGAAACTGTTCCATCCCGGAACCTTTTGAACGATCAAGCCTCTCTTTCTGTAGACACCAGAAATGGGCTTAACACATTGTACCCATGTGGGGAATCGAAGCAGGGCATTCGTCGTGACGAGGAAACGCTTGAACTATTTGCCTACCCCGCTGCCCTTACTGCATATAGAGAACATAACCATCAACTGTTTCTGCTTTTTATCGTTTAAGAAAACGCAACGTTCAATCAGTGATGCCCAAAGAAAAGTTCTGCATTACCTGTCAAGTCAACTGAACGCTCTTGATGAGAACAACGCCCATGCCTTGGCAATATCGGCATATGCTTTAACCCTTGCTCAGAGCTCACTCGGTGACATCGCTATGAATAAACTACAAGCTATAAGCCATCCAGAAGGTAACTAGTCTTTAGAACACACACGATAGTATCTTTAATCAGTATTATGTATTTAATTTTGTGTTCCACGGCAAATTTTCTTTGTCGTTATTTTCTCCTGATCCATAGAGGATGAAATTTAACCTATACAAACATAACATAATATACAAGCACAAAAAACATTTTCAGGAGATGTCAAGTTTTGGACGGCAACGAAAACAACCAGTTTCCCGAAACGCCAACCCTGGAGTAGACAAAAGAGGTTCTCCAGCCCCATCGATATTGAGACAACAGCTTACGTTCTTCTGTCGCATGTTGTGAGAGGCGAACTCGGGGAGGGGCTCAAGGTCATGAAATGGATCGTCCGCCAGAGGAACCCTAATGGAGGGTTCACATCGACACAGGTTCGTAGGTAATAAAACCTGTATTGCAACGGCGTCTGAGTTTCAGTTTTCGTGACTATTATCTGCCCTTGTAGCTTCACTGTAACTTCCTGCTGCGTTTGGCTCCACACATCACAAGAAGCCACTGAGTGTTGGCAGTGGTTTCAGCGGTACTGTTTTCATGTGCATAAATGATAACAATACAATAATCCAATTCAACAATACCATGTCAACTATTCCAGGTGTCACATGCAGTGTTACAGAGAGCCTCATCCGCTTCGTTCTGTAAACAACGTCTTTTGTACACGTATTTAGTCAAGTAGAGACTTAAAATTGATATTGTGTGAACGATGCGGGAGTTCTGGGTGTTTTGCTTTTTAATTGCTATGTTGATTTCTAAAGACTGAAAATGCCATGTTAATCAATAAATTGGACAGCTAGCGAAGTCGTGCGGAAACATCCCATCACATAAACTGGCATCATCACATAAACTGTCTCTGTGAAGCAGTCATTGTTTTCACGTTCGTAATACTATAGATGTAGCTGCTCAATTGAACGATTATTCACCCATGAAATTCAGTGGTTGAATTGACAGGCTCGCCTAATTGGATGATGCCATTGTATCCTATTTGCACTGATCAATGCTCATGAAGTCAATCACAGGGATTGACCTATTCAGACTCGATAATTTAAATAGACCGTGGTCAGATCAGATGCTGGAATATTGCTGAGCGTGGCATTAAACTAGAAAATTACAACAAAATATTACATTATCCTCATAGTTTCGACTGAACTATTATAATATTTTGCATGTTTTCAGGCGTTCACAATACCATTCTCACATTCCAGTATAAAATTCCCTCTTAGGAAGGTTGGGATAGAACCGACTAAAATGTGCCCCTCCTCTACCAGTCAGTGAAAGCGAGATCCCTCCAGGAGCAGTGACGTGTTCCTGTATATGGGGCACATAAGTCATTCTGAGTCACTTCCGCCTCTTTCCGCCTCTTTCATCACCTGCATTCCTTTGACTTTATCCTCCACAAATATACTGAGTCAAAAAATAAACTTCACATTCTTTCTTCAGGGCACTATAAAAGAACAACAGATGGTAAGATGGTTAAATTGTTATTATTTCATTGCTGAGATCTGTGTGATGTAGTCATTACACTGACAGTGCCATAATCAGTTCAATTAGGCTACACCGCCGTTCCAAAACATTGGTATACAGAATGTCAAGTCACAAGAATAAAAATGTGAAATTTCTCAGTTCAATATCGTGTATGGCCGCCCCACGCATTCACCACTGCCAAACACCGTCTCCTCATCGACTGCCTGATGCTTGTGAACACGTGGTTGGGGATTCTGCGCCATTGCTCTTGCAAGGCAGCGCCAAGTTCCTGCAAAATCTGAGGTTGGTTCCTAAGACCACGAAGCCTTCTCCCAAGTGCATCCCAAACGTGCTCTATTGGATTAAGGTCAGGGGACCTCGATGGCCAGTCCATGACGTTGATTCCAGCGTTTTGAAGGAAATTTCGTGTCAACATCGCGGTATGCGGCCGAGCATTTTCATGCTGGAACTGTAGACCTGGGCCATGAGCCGCCATAAGCACCTGGTCGCGGTAAGCAGCAGCTGTGAGGTTTCCACGGATGACCAGAAGTCGGGAACGGTTGTTCCCACAGAAAGCACCCCACACCATGCAACTTCCGCCCCCGAATCTGTCGACTTCCTGTACACAACATTGGGCATACCGTTCACGACGTCGTCTCCAGACTCTATGCCTGCCGTTCGCGAATGTGAGGGTAAACCTGGATTCATCGCTAAAGACGACTCGATTCCAGTCTCTCTGGGTCCATCGGAGGTGACGTTGGGCCAACAGCAGACGTTGACGTTGATGAAACGGCGTCAATATTGGCCAACGATATGGACGTCGAGAATGGAGATTGGCAGCCCGCAACCGATTTCGAATGGTCTGTGAAGACAGTCGACCTCTAAACATCTCAGCCCTGGTTCGTGTAGCCAGCAGAAATCTGTCACGTAGGTGACGTAGCACCGTTTGACGGTCTTCTGCTCGTGACGTCACACGTGGACGACCCGACCTTGGGCGATCAGAAGTGGTGCCAGTTTGTTGTAGACGACCTCGCAAGTCATACACAGTACGACGGCTGCATCCCATTGCTCTTGCGACGTCAATAACTGATCTTCCCGCTTGCAACATGCCAACGGCACGTTCACGTTGCACATTTGACAATCGTGGCATTGCAAGTACCGTTAGAACTGTGGTTTAAAAGTGTTTTTTCTATTCTTCAGGCCAATGCAAACACGTGCATATGAAGAAAACTTCGATTCGAAGATCACGTGATCGACTGCACGTGCAAAACCTGATTTGGCACTAACGTCACTAACGACGAATGGATGGATTTGAGTGGGCTTTGCTAACGTTTTTCTAGAGTCGAAAGATAGGGATCCCATTTCGGATACACAGATGTATCATCAGAGAAAAATTATTCATTATTTTTCAAATTACATTTTGTGAAGTTTCTTTTTTGACTCAGTATAGTTATGCAGCGTTATGTTCTCCTTCTCGGCATCAATCCGTTCCTTACTACCAGAGTAAATAGCTAGTGACATATTTTGTGTACAGACTTGATGCTACACTGGTCTTCCCATGTATCAGTCTAGTAAGTTTATACTATTCTTTCAGGACACTGTCATAGCTTTAGAAGCTCTCTCCAGCTTCCATACATCCCTTCATAAATCAACACAGCAAACGTCGCCAGGTATTACCAACATAGCAGCGACTGTCACGGCTGGTGTAGTAACAAAACATATCACAATGGACAACACAAACAAGGACGTCCTTCATGAACTCCTGGTTAGTCCTTGTTAAACCATTCTACTCACCTATCGTTTACAACGAAGAGTTTTTATCACAAATATATACTAAGTCAATTGTGTTTTAGGAACCATCGACTTTGATCTTTCTAAGAGGCTTTTAAAATGTATCATACGACTCTAAAGTTGTTTGATGGACGTTATAGCTATTAACGCTTCAACAAAGATTTCAAATTATCTAGCTGTATGATATATAGAGAATACTACACGAGGTCTCATTACATACGAATTATACGAAACGAGTGTCCTTCCTATGGTATCTGACCGAGCGAAAGCGATACCATAGGAAGGTCACGAGTTTCGTATAATTCGTATGTGATGAGACCGAGTGTGGTATTTTATTTATTACCCACGTCTTACATGCATTAATTGACAAAATAGCGTCTTTTTTGTTATTTTTATGGTTTCAAACCGAAACCGGTTTCATAAAGAGGTTGCGGAAGAGTTGTACTGTAGTACAATATTTGCATGACGTCACACTGTAATGACGTCACTGCCTTGGTAACCGACGTCACGATGCATGCCAGTTGTCATCGCCTCGTACAGCCTCCTCCAGTAAACTTGTCCTTAGCACCCCGTTTCTTGGTTTGCAGTTGCTTCATTCGGCTAACATCACTGGTGGAAACATTGCGTTTATGTTTTTCGACGGATATAATGTCTCAGTTCGACTCATAATTAAACAGCGACACGGCAACGTTCGCAATGTTTACATTCCCACAATGCATTTAAGTTGTAGAATGAATGAATTCACGTGTTTGTTAAGAATGAATAAATAGTTACGTCAGAATGTGACCTAATTGAGAGGTCATCGGTTATCCAATCAAATCGTTAGAATCTCAGGTCAAGTCGTTACGACACAGGTCAACGCGATACGACACTCGTGTGACGTACGAGATTAGTATGCAACTACCCATACGTTGACCACGTGGGTAATAAAATAAAGTTATTAACGGGGATATATTTTGAAGGGCTAGTGATGGCGTTAAGGAAAGTATATGGCCAGGCAAGTGCTATGTTTTCACGAGCACCTGTTGCAGTTGGTGTACGTCTGTGCCATTGGTCCGCACACGTTGTTTGTGAGTGCTATTTTGACTTGAAGACCATATGTAAATTATTAACACAAAAGTCAGCAGATAGAAACAGCCACCCGATAGAGTCTAAATGAATACTATTTGTTTTCATTCTTCCATTCAGCTTCCAGGGGACAGTAAGACGGTCAGTGTCAGTGCAACAGGGTCAGGACTAGGCGTAATAGAGGTGAGATGAGTAGATGCCAGCCCTTAAATCTAAGTGCATGTATGCAGTCGGCTTATATGAATACCGGTACATGTAAGTGGCTGTCATATAAGACGATAGTACAAGACACTCTTATTTTTAGTAGTGAGTGAGTGCGTTTAGATTTACGCAGCACTTAACAATATTCAAGCCAATTGGGAGGCGATGACATGTGTCATCCAAGTCAGCGAGCCTGACCACCCGATCACGTTTGTCGCCTCTTACGACAAGCATGTGTTACTGAAGATCAATTGTAACCCGGATCTTCACGGGTCCTTATTTGTAGTAAGGCTGCAGGGGACGGGAAGGTAGGGGTATACAGTTACTATTTTACTATTGAGAATTCACCTGTGTTAAGCACAGCAATACTCGTTAAACTCACACAGATGTGCACTTAGTGATATTTGTTACCTGCGTGTTCAAGGTTTTGCAATCTTTGCATTTTCCAAATCATTTCAGAGCTCTCTGCTCACAGGTCCTTATTGAGGGTCATCTGTTTATGTAAATCCATCAACCGAAGAATGTCGGAAGGGAAACAGACTTTAGAAAACGTTGAAAATTCCCTTACATTTCTTTAATCGCTGCATGTATTTTACATTTCAAAATTAGGCCACACCTTACTACATGCGTATACTCGGTTGTGCCCAGTATAGAAAATAAACGTCAATCTGTTATTTTTTTATCTTGGGGATACCTGCGCTATTTTACTGCAGCTTCGTCTACGCTCACATGCCGTCAAGTCAATGACTGGATATTTGAATGTTTAGATGAGGTGAAGAGAACTTAGAAAAATTGTAATATATTTAAATGATTTGAAACATTGGATGAGTTGATTACCACCATTGACAAGTTGACCAAGTAAACATATACGCAAGTATACGTTATTTGTGCTTACCATTGATTTCCTCTCTCAAAGGTCGGGGTGTTCTACAATGTCAACGTGACTACTGATGACGCGGCCTTCGACCTTACAGCTTCCATAACAAAACAAAGTGTCAATGCTATCAACGTGAGGATTTGTACAAGGTCGGTAATAAACATTACATATCAACTGTTTTTCAGCTCAAATAATATGTCAGTCAGAAAGTACACTGCTATATATAAACGAAATGCATATGGTATTACGTTGAATTTAGAGCTATGACGATATACTCCAAAAGTCATTACAATTGTCCATCTTCACCAAAAGGAAGGACAACGTGTTCAAAGCGTAGGTAAAATGTCATCTTATGCCAGTGCAATGGAAAAGTATGAAAATGAATGTGAATGAATATAAAATGATACAGCCTTTGTGCCAGAGATTCCGAATATATACCTGCTGAAGTAAAAGGCAATACCAGATGTGCTCTCATCACCTGACCTCATGTGTACTCAACACCTGCTCAAATGATGAAAAATATTGCTGAACGTGGCGTAAAACCATACTTACTACTCATTCAACAGATTGATGAAAATAGTAACTCGTCTTGTCACCTGAGCCTTGAGGGAACACAATGACTTGAAAATTAAATATTTAAATCTTGGCCTCGAATACCAAATCAATTGAAAGCAGTATTTATGGAAGCACTGTAGAACTAAAAAGATTTTACTATGTGTCCCAGTTCACCCAGCTGCAAATGGGTACCTTGTGAGGACGGGTCTGTGTGATAACTCGTTAAGCTTAACAGGCTGCATGAGTTGAATACTCCCCAGGGTGTTGAGTTGGTTTAAAAGAATGCCAAAGAAAAGACATTCGTTGATACAGGGAACACTTCTGCGCCTTGAGCATGTACCAGTTGCGTAGATATGTGCGCTATGTAAATATCCTATAATCATAATAATCCACGATGATGAATGTTACTGAATTTGTCACTCATAATGTTGATGATCATGATGTTCATCACCTGATTGTCTGGTCCAGACTCGATTATTTACAGACAGACGTAGTATAGCTGCAATATTGCCGAGTGCGGTGTTATACAACAAACAAACAAAACCATGTTTATGGACTTGGCCTTTCACTTACTTTGACCAAACCATTTCAAAACAGGGTCAACACTTTCTTTAGGAAATATATTATATTCAGCTACTTTGTACCGTATGACTTTGACCTCTAACCTTCTCATGTTATGAGACTATTAAGAGGTTTTCATACTGCCTTAATGATATGTGGCCATATTGAAAAGGAAATTTGATCTTTATGACCAATTATGACCAAGTGCCGGAATTAACAGCATGGTCAAAGGCAAAGATCAATGTCACCGCAAGTCGTTCATCGTCATCGTCCACATCCTTTTCACATTTGTTTCTGCTGACATTTTCTATGCATGTTCGAAGCAAGGTAGAGATTTTGGATTTCACACAAATTGCTTCTGCAAAGCATTAATGACATCAAACTTTATGTGTAAGAAGGCCAAGTTATGTGGTTCCATGTTTTTTCAAGTTATTTTGATAGGAAATAAAATACGGCTGCCACTTGCCATAATAAAAAAAAAATGAAAACAATATTCTTAATTCATTATACTGTGAAATATTATCTCCACTACAACCACTGAACACAAATAATAGTGACACATAAGATGGCACCAGTAATAAGATATTTCCAATCAGCTTTCTAAAATCACCGCCGTGGCAGCCATATTGAAAGGGAATACAGTGGAATATAATGTGTGTTTATGTTTAATGAGTTCAGAAACTACCAGACCAGTTGGGACTGGAAGATCAGATGACGCATTGATTTCTTCAAGAGGTTCGAATCGATTTTTTAATATTGCCGCCACAGCAACAACTTTGATGAAGTTATTCATGTCCCTAAATATATATGTACCATTTTTGTGATATTCTAAACTTTGACCATTGTGATATTCTAAATTTTTACCTTTAATTTACCTTTGGACTTCAACTCTTCAGAGAGCTAAAATTAAGACCACAGCAGCAACATTAATAAAGTTACTCATGTCTCTAAATATATGTAACATTTTTGTGACATTCTAAACTTTAATCAGTGTGATATTCTAAATTTTGACCTTTAATTCACCTTTGGATTTCAAAGGATGTATATTGGAAGAAGACATTTTCGACGGTACTGTTACGCTGTTTACACTGGAATTGCTAAGGACACATTCGTTTCTCCTTACGATAACATCATATTGTATTCAAACCTTTTTTGTGAATTATCAGACATTCAGTCTGGCATTATAAATTAAATTCTCCATGAAGCTATAAGGCTCAGAAATGAAATTTTGTGTGAATTCTTTGAAACACGTGTGTTTATTGCTATGGATTGAAGCGACAAAAACCCTTTCCACATTCAGAAGAAATCTCTGCGGAATGCAGAGCCCATTGTTCAAATCTGACTATATCATGAGTATCTGTAAGTTCCAGAAGCATTATAGCTGTACGATGTTGTTTGTAAACAATCGAGTTTGGACCAGACAATCCAGTGATTGTCAGAGCATGACAGAGCATGTGTTTATGAATCACTAGGAAATAGTGATGATACCAGGTGTTCGCGAAAAGGTGAGCGTATCCTGCCCCACCGGTGGCACCAGTCATAAACATTTGCTAAGTCTAGTCTATTGTTCACCTGAAATAATTCGGGAACGTATATAATGGTACAAGTCAAAATAGGGATTTGCATCGGAAATACTTTTTTGTCACTGATGCATCAAATTTCGAAATTTCCTCCACATGTCTACCATAAAACTTCTTGAAAGCGTTACTTGAATGTTGTAACCTTCATCAAAGACCTTCTGAGCAAGAGTGGTACGACGATCTTTGAAATCTTGATAAAAAGAGTATGCTCGATTGTACCTCAAAGTTGTGATGGAGCTGTTGGAATATTGCTTGACATAAAAGGGTAGTTGACTATTGGGAAGTTCAAATCATACCTTTTGTCATACAGCCTTTGTTATAAATAATACATTCATATTGCAGATTTAGGAACATTACATGTTTCATATAAGTAGACAGATTTTTCCAATAGTATTTATTCGTAAAATATGCGAAAGTGGCTTTTAAAAGAAGCCCATTCAAGAAACGAACTTTTCCCCCTATGAATCATGGTGATTTTTTAAACTAAAAGAAAATTTGTCGAAACACAGCATTAATCAAATATGCATTTTTCCAGATGGTTGTTGGCTGGGTCAAGCGGAATGGCAGTGGTACAAGCTGGTATCCCCACAGGATTTCAGCCTGATCTGGAGATGATCACCAATTTACCTAGCCTTAAACGAAAGGAATACAGCAGTGGAAACGTTGATCTATACTTTGAAGGGGTATGCACTAAGGAAATGAAGTGTTATTAGGTCTCGTTGATACTGATGATGTCGTAATAGAACAGTAGTGAAGTATGGATAATCCATAATAACAGTACAGTTACAGTAATGTAGCTGCAGTTTCCCTGATCCATTGAGGACACCACGTTCCACCTTAGCGAGAATATATAAAGGTTCAAATGTACCATGTGTATCTACAGATCGGGTCAAGTCAGGTTTGTGTGGACATCAGGGCTGGCCGAGTTGGGATGACGCTCAAAACACAGAAGTCGTTGGTTGTTGTCTTTGATTATTACAATCCAGGTAACCTAATTTGGACACATACGCTCCTAACGTTATTAAAGTCATTTATTCATTCCAAACGTCAATCTAAATGTTTCCTGTCATAATGATTAGTAAGTTAGAATTTTAAGGCTATAACCACATTTCATTTGCTATATATCTAACAGCACAGTAGTATGCATTGTCACATACTATATTGCCATGTCGGAATCATGTTGATGTGCGCTGTTGCTTTTCTTGCAGCCAATCAGAAATCTGTCTTCTATATATCCCCTGAACTTGCAAATGCCAAACTGTGTGATGTGTGCACAGACTGCGACGGATGTGGCAATCTGGTTTGTACAAAGGAAATAAAAAATACATTCTCATAGGCGAATACAGTAGGGGGATTCTAAGACACATTGTTCATACACATAGAACTTGCATAGAAACAGGTAGTCGTATTTATCAGGAACATATGATACATCAGTAAGGTGATACCTGGAAAGGCCAATATCTCAAAGACCGGTGTAGCCAAACTGGTCGCGATTAGATATATTGCTGATCAATCTGCACAAGCCATATAGGTATTTGGTAGTTGACAGCTGTCTGTTTCATCAGACTAACCGGAGACTTCCCATTCTGCCTACAGTCCCATTCTGCCTACACGTTAAAACAACATGATACGGTCCAGTGATCAGGAAGTCTCTTTCATATGCGTCCGACTCGGAATGATCGGCGCATTTTTCCTGCCGAAATCTGTCGGAAAACGGAAGAAATGGTGGTTCTTTCCCATGTTCAATGATGCCGTGCATCCCCAGGCAACGCAATACACCATCGTACCATTTAAAAGAACGACAGAAACAATACGATTTGTACTACAGTAGCGCTTGGTCTTTGGAAATATGGCGGACTCCAGGCAAATTTGACGTCACGAAAGGTCACGTGGGTTCCAGCGAAATATGCATAATGGCCGAAGCTGAGATTTACAGAAACTGTTTTCGCGATTAAAACATAATTATACATAATTTTAATTGAAAATTTGGGAATATGTTTCTGATGACTTCATCTTTCACCCAGCAAATTATTGCAATTCACTCGTATTCTCCTTTAATGTACTGACCTATTCTACCCTTACTAAAACAAACCTGACCAAATATGTCAATTTGACAAGTCTGGTCTATCGATTCAATGTTCTTGATGTCATCATCATGTCGTTTAATTTAAGTGAAGCTGCATAAATTCCCCTTTCTCCAAACCCATCAACATACCCTTCAGTGATTGGTAAATGGCCATGGGTTGTTCTGTTATTGTATAGGTAAAAATCATTTCCCATTCTGCCTACAGTAACTGGGATGTAGGCAAATTGGGATTGTAGGCAGAATGGGATGTAACCGACTAACCACATGCATAACCCGCAGCCTATAGACATTCCTGTAATGTTCACGTAACGTGGTTCGATGAAGAAAAATATTGTTCCTCACCTGATCGTGGACATAGTATTGCGCGAAACATTTATACCTTCGCTCCGCCCTATCAGTGATTTTATTAAGGCACACTTTCCATATTCTCATAATAAACCTTGATTCAGAGGCGATTTCAATTGTCCAGACATTCGAGACGTCTGTTTAATCATTATTCCCATGAACTGGGTGAACCGCACTACATGTTTCGATCTGTGTGATGCTAAATTATATGAATTTAATTAATTTCAGATAGTTGGATAACTGCGACGCACACCTGGAACACGACCGTCCATCGACTTACGATAACCTTCGTTAATGTTTACTTTGTTCATAATTGAATAAATAGGTGCAACGTTAAGATCTGTTTGTGTTGTCGTATCCACGAAACACGATATTGTCGATGGGGCATCACTCATGGAACAAAATATGTTAACTGAATAGGAGCACCATCATGTGTGTGCCATGATAAGGGTGTAAAAGGGTTTGAGAAAAGTTTCATGTAAAGATGGTTTGTTCACAACACCTTCATCCAATTTCACAGACCGACAGGTGGAACTAAGTACATGCATTCGTGACATAGTACGATTAATTAATAAATTTATATATTTATTCACATTCACTCCCTGTCGCCTATACACTCACTTCATATCGCATAGAAATTCTCCTTCTGCCTTGGAGACTGGCGAATACATTAACAACGAGTGAGTGGTTTGGTTGTACGCCGCTTTTAGCAATATTCCAGCAATATCACGGCAGGGGACACCAGAAATGGGTTTCACACATTGTACCCATGTGGGGAATCGAACCTTGGTCTTCAGCGTAACGAGCGAACGCTTTAACCGCTAGGTTACCCCACCGCCCCCATTAAAAATGAACGTAAATCATCTTTAGAATGATCTATCAAATGTACACTGACAAAGGTCATGGAATACAGCTATGCTCCTGGCTCTATTGGGGTTTGATTTTATTAAATATGTAAATATATATTTGAGTTTTGACAATGCAGCATGTGATCGTATATTTATCAACTTTAGTATAATATATGATTTAACTTTTCATGTTTCAACTGATGAGGAGCAGGTCAACCTGAATACTGTCTACATAACGCATAATGAAACCTTTATGTTCCAATATGAAATTATATTGATTTTAATTTTTCTTTGAACTGCCATTGGTATTAGGTTGATTGTGACAAGCTCGGGTTAATGATTTAAGATATCTAGTGAGTTCATTTACACAGCATTTGCTAGAAAATGCAGCATATCAGCCTTGGGATGTGATTCTTAATCCTTAATCCTTAATGGTTAAATGGACCGCCTCCGTGGTGTAGTGGTTAGAGCGTCCGCCCGGACGATCCCCGACCGCGTCATACCAAAAGACGTTAAAATATGGTACTTGTTGGTCCCTGCCTGGCGCTCGGCATTAATGGGTACAAGAAGGACTGGTCGGCTCGGAGTCAGTATAATGTGTCTGAGTGGGGTATTCATGCTTCACTGCGGCATGGTATCTCAATGGGCTAACACTATAAAACCAGCTTCAGTCTGGGCTAGTACAAGCAGCCGCGCATACACATACACGCGCATGCACGTCGTCATATGATCGAAATATTCTCAAGTACGACGTAAAACCCAATTTCACCTCACCTCACCTAATGGTTAAATCACTTACAATTACGATGCCGTTCTTGTCTTTGCCACTGTGGGGTAAAAAGGTGTCACAGCAGGTTTGCTTCATCTCTGAAGGGGGGAGGTAAAGTATTGTAAAATTATTGTCCTCCTGAGAGGGTATATAAGTCCCAAAACTCTAAAAGTAAATTTCAAACTTACCCGGATTTTGAGCGTTGAATGATTGTGTTTTTAATTATGGCAGCGGAGTCACGCTACAGGAAAACTGGGTCAGATACAGATAGGATAACTATGGTAAATTGTAGTAACATTTATAGAGAGACATGTAAAATTAAAAGTAGAAATTTTGCTAAAGATTCCGCTAGGTTATTATCTACATTGTGTAAGGAAAACCCTACGCAATTTTTGGAAAAGTGTTAGGCCGAAGTCGATTGATAGTACACATGATGAGTGTAATTTTGCTGAGTATTTTGAAAAGTTGTGGAATCCTGATATTGTTCCAAAGTTAACTGATGAGGTGGTCGAGGTAATTAGGAAATCTGACGACGATATGGTCCAGCACTGGGTTGACGAGTTAGACCGTGACATTACTGCGGTTGAAGTACATGTGGCAATTAGTATGTTGAAGTGTAATAAAGCAGCAGGTTACGATGGCATTATTAATGAATTCCTTAATGAAGATACCTTATCTCCAGTAATTACCATGTTATTTAATGCTATTTTGAAATCTGGTAAATACCCCTCTGAATGGAGAAGGGCGTTATTGTCCCCATTCATAAAAAAAGGAAGTAAATTAGTTGCAGATAATTATCGAGGGATTACACTTCTTTCTTGTGTCAGCATGTTGTTTACGAGTGTTTTAAATAACAGAGTTAAACAGTGGTGTGATAATTACTCCCTCTTGGTAGAAGAACAGTTTGGTTTTAGAAAGAGTTATAGCACGGCTGATTGTATGTTTATTCTCAACGGACTGATAAATTTAGCCTTGAGTAAAGGGGTGAAATTATATAGTGCTTTTGTGGATTTTCGAAAAGCATTTGACTTTGTTGATAGGCAAGCCCTTTGGTTTAAACTCTATTCTTTGGGTATTAGTTCCAAATTTCTATCATTAATTAAAAATATATACATAGATGTGTCCTCTTGTGTTAAACTTCCCGGAAATAGGTATTCAGAGTTCTTTTCATCAAATATAGGTGTAAGGCAAGGGGAGAATTTATCGCCTATATCATTTTCATTGTTTATAAATGATATTTTGTCTGATCTCTCTGCTTGCAATGATATTGGCATGACAGTGTTTTACATCAAGCTATTTATGTTATTATTTGCTGATGATATGGTCTTGTTCAGTGAATCCGTCGAGGGCTTGCAGCGTGGTCTTGGTTTCTTACAGAGATATTGCGACAAGTGGGCCATCACTGTAAATACAGATAAAACTAAGGTTGTTATTTTCAGAAAAGGGGGTAGATTGTCCAAGAGAGAAATCTGGTATTATGGTGATCAGGTACTAGAAAATGTTAATAGTTTCAAATATTTGGGTATTGTCTTCTCGGCAACAGGTAGTTTTTCCCAGGCACAAAAGACTCTATCGGAGCAGGCTATGAAATCCTTATTTTCGTTACAACGAATATTGTTGTCCAATCCATATATGTCCCCTGCGCAGCAGTATCAATTATTTAAAAGCTTAGTACTGCCAATTGTATGCTATGGCTGTGAAGTTTTGGGATTTATGGAAGCGCCAGCTATCGAAAGAGTCCATTTAAAGTTTATTAAGCAGGTTCTGCGTGTTAAAAGTCGAACACCATCAGCTTTTGTCTATGGTGAAATGGGCGTACTGCCATTGATTACTATTAGATTGGTACGCATTGTGAAATATTGGATTAAGATAATCACCTGTGACGGAAACCGATATATAAGCATTATATATAGGGCTCTAGTCGACAGTGCTCGGCAGAATCAAACATATACGACATGGGTTACTCTCATTAGAGTGAGTGAGTGAGTTACTATTTAACGTCACATCGGCAATATCTCAGCCATATCGTGACGAAAACAATCCATACAATAAAATGTGGAAACATTTTGAAGATTAAAACCTGTCGACGATGGACAGTAAAAAGACTAGAGAATCACAGATATAAATATGAAACTAGCGGGCAAAGTTAAAATATTCCAATCAAAGAAAACAATACAATATAAAATACGGGCTATAGATCGCCAACAACTGAAGGTAGATCACCATACTAGGGCCCATTAGAGACTTGTTGTTTCATTATGGATATGGTTTTATTTGGTTACATCAGAAATTGACTCTACAGCATTCATCAGTGCTTTTAGACAAAGGGTTATTGATATACATTCTCAAATGTGGAAATATAATCTAAGTTCACTTAGTGAAACAAGAATATATTTGCTTATCAAATCATCACTTACCATGGAAAAGTATTTATCTCATATTGATGTCATAAACTATTGGGTAGCCTTGACACGACTACGATTATCTTCTCATTCACTTATGATTGAGAAAGGAAGATGGGCTCGACAAAAGTAGCTTTAGAAAACCGATTATGTCCTTTTGCAAAAATGACATAGAGGATGAATATCATGTTATCATGGTTTGTCCTAAGTACTTGACATTTAGACGTCGCTACCTACCACTGGACGTATACAAGTCTCCAAACATGATGAAGTTTATAAGTCTTTTACAAACTAAAGTTGAAGTATCAACCTTCAACTTAGCCAAATTTGTTTATCATATATTTCAGGTAAAGCAAAACTATAATTTGAATTATCCATGAATGTTTATTTCCTTTTTAGTGCTATCTTCTGTCACGAAAGGTCTTTGCAAGTGGGTTGGGTTGGGTGGGGGGAGGGAGGGAGGCAAATGTTGGCAATGCGCATTTGAAAGTATGTATGATGTATTTGTCATGTTGGCCGTTGGCCTATTAAAGAAATAAACATGTTTAATTATGGCTCAATTTGACTACAATCGCCAGCGGCTGAGGGGATGATGTAAATCCAACTACATGTAGGGTCCATGTAGATAGCAAAGGTACTGTAAGTCCCCATGGTCCTTAGTATGGTGATCAACCTTCAGTTGCTGGTGATGTAAAGCCCGTTCTTATATTGTACTGTTGTCTCTCGTGATATATTATTATGATAGCGTACTAGTTTTAAATTAAGAGCTGTGATATTTACTGTCCTTCGATGACAGGTTTTTACGTTATACATTTATTGATTTAAATATTAATATAATTCTCGTCGCGATATGTCTGCAATATTGCCGATGTGACGTTACATTTTAACTCACTCACCCACTCCCCTCCAACGCGTTGTGAATGGCCACAAGCAACGTGATTCGATTTGTGAAGAACAAACTCATTTTAGAAGATGCTCTTGTTATGCCAGTTTAGTTCAATCCAACTCCTGTCAGATATAACGGATATTTCTTTGAGTGGCATGTTTAGAAGCTGGAGAGTCAGATAAGGACACACTTTATGGATGAACAGCTTCTGTATTCAGAATGATGGGACGTTTCGATACAGATTCTTGTGTCGTTGTGTACAACCTGCTTGACAACGGTACTAGAATTTGTATCGAAACATCGCATCACCTGAATAAAGAAGTTGTCCATCCATAAAGTGTGTCCTTATATTACAGATAGCAAGAGTTGTGTCGGGTTTACTATAAACATGCAGGTGGACTAGATAGTCGCGTGTTTGGAAATATGAAGAAA